GAACTTGCTGTTGATGCGGGAGAACACCTCGACGACGCTGGTGGAGTTGGAGATCATGCACACGGCGCGCTGCACCTTGGCGAGGTCGGCCCCCGGCACCACCGTCGGCGCCTGGTAGTTGATGCCGCACTTGAACCCCGTCGGGCACCAGTCCACGAACTGGATGGTGCGCTTCGTCTTGATGAGGGCCACCGCGGCGTTCACGTCCTTGGGCACCACGTCACCACGGTACATCAGGCAGCACGCCATGTACTTGCCGTGCCGCGGGTCGCACTTGACCATCATGGAAGCCGGCTCGAACGCGCTGCTGGTGATCTCCGCCACCGACAGCTGCTCGTGGAAGGCCTTCGCCGAAGAGATCACCGGCGCGTATGAGGACAGCATGAAATGGATCCTCGGGTAAGGAACCAAGTTGGTCTGGAACTCATTCACATCCACATTGAGGGCACCATCGAACCTTAGGGAAGCAGTAAGTGATGAGATCACCTGCACACCAAAACAGTTTAAGGCTTACATTTTAGCATCGGTTTCAAGGATGTATGAACAAAACCAGAGCACATATGTATGAACAAAACCAGCACATCCCCACCCAGTATAATGCAATTGTTCTACCTGAGACACAAGGCGATTCAGGTTGGAGTAGTTGGGCCTCTCAATGTCGAGCGAGCGCCTGCAGATGTCATAGATGGCCTCATTGTCGAGCAGGATGGAGACATCAGTGTGCTCCAGCAAGGAGTGGGTGGAGAGCACGCTGTTGTAGGGCTCCACAACAGAGGTTGACACCTGGGGAGATGGGTACACAGTGAAGCCCAGCTTGGATTTCTTACCGTACTCCACAGACAGGCGCTCAAGGAGGAGTGAACCAAGGCCAGAGCCGGTTCCACCACCAACAGCATTGAAGACCAGGAAGCCCTGAAGCCCAGTGCAGTTGTCAGCGAGCTTGCGGATGCGGTCAAGGCACAGATCAACAATCTCCTTGCCAACTGCATGAACAAGAGCATGATGCATCAGTAATCAAAACATAAATGAGTTGAGATGAGCTTATTCTGTGGAACACAAAGTTTTTAGATGGGCAATTACTTGTGTAGTGGCCACGGGCAAAGTTGTTAGCAGCATCCTCCTTGCCGCTGATGAGCTGCTCAGGGTGGAAGAGCTGGCGGTAAGTGCCAGTGCGCACCTCGTCGATCACAGTGGGCTCAAGATCAACGAAGATTGCACGGGGCACGTGCTTCCCTGCACCAGTCTGGCTGAAGAAGGTGCTGAAGGCGTCATCATGGTGTCCCGCGGTCTTGTCTCCAGGCACTTGGCCATCAGGCTGCGTATAACAGAAAGGTGTTAAATGCAATTCAGATCATATCGTGAAAGGATCAAAGGATCATGGTTGCAAGGGTTCAGCATACCATCAATTTAATTAGTATTTGATTCAAAAGGCATGATGGCAACTCATATTCATAGGAAAGGGAAATTTCAGTTTAGTCATAGTTGCACAGCACAAACTAAAGCGGCGTTCCCATATTCTCAATTGGAATCAGATCGAAGAAATGGAAACAACATGGGTCAATTTTACAGAATCAGAGCTTGATTCACAAAATAATACAAGTAGAATTCAATCAACTCCTAGATGACAACAACAGAAACAGATATATCGCAGTTCATAGGAAAGAGAAATTTCATTACAGTCAAATTACAGTTGCACAGGACAAACTAAAGCATCATTCCCCTAGACCAATTTGTAATCAGATCGAAGAAATGAAAACAACATGACTAGAATTTACAGAATCAGAGCTTAAATTCAGGAAATAACAATACAAGGAAAATTCAATCAACTCCCAGTCGACAATAACAGATACAGAGATAGCGCAGTTCAAAGAGAATTTATTACAGCTGCACAGCACAAACTAAAGCATCATTCCCCTAGACCAATTTGGAATCAGATCGAAGAAATGAAAACAACATGAGCAAAATTTACAGAATCAAAGCTTGATTCACGAAATAATAAGGACAATTCAATCAACTCCTAGTCGACAATAACAGATACAGAGATAGCGCAGTTCATCCACGCACAAAACAGATCCAAACCGACCACGGAACGGCCGATGAGTAGTTACGACATCGCAATCCGTCTGAGAATAGGCGTGACCAGCAACAAACGGGTGCATACGAGATGTAAAATTCGGTCGGAACAGCATTTTATTTCCGCCGCAAAGTATTAATCGCAAACGAAATCCACAATACACCCAAACACAGGATGATCTCAGTTTAAATCGCGCAGGAAATTTCGAACCCTAGAGATACACCCAAACACAGGATGATCTCAGTTTAAATCGCGCAGGAAATTTCGAACCCTAGAGATACTAGTACTACCAACAGATCTGACAAAAAAACCTAACCACTTCACCCCGATTCAAGTACTAACGCCCTGCAACTGCGAATCGTAGAACTCCTCGACAACAGATCAGAAATCAATCGAAAACGATGATAGAAACGCTTAGCGAGGAGGATAATATGACGCGATCTTACCTGGATGCCGTGCTCGAGGCAGTAAAGTTCCCAGCACGCGTTGCCGACTTGGATGCCGGCCTGCCCGATGTGGACGGAGATGCACTCCCTCATCTTCCTCCTCTCCTCTCAAACAACCGCGCGCGACGGCTTCGGAAGAGACCGGGACTCGCGCGAAGGCCGATCGGGGGAGGACGGAAAGGGGAATGGTCGAGGATCGATCGATCTGTCGAGAGTGGAAGCGCTGGCGTTTGTGAAGACGCCGAGGTGAAGCGATAAATGCCTCCCCGCCCCGCGGCGGCTTTTATAGGCAGAGTGGGAGAGGCGGCCGCGGCCGGCCCGTGATGGTGTGGCGCGGCGCGGTAGACCTAGCTCCGTCTGGTTCGGGGCTGACGACGTGATGGTGGCCCACGGCGCAGCCTCTGGGTGGTGGGCGGGGCGGAGGCAACGAGGGGTTAACGACCGTTTGGCTTCGAACGGCTCTGAGGCTTGCGTGACCGGCCGGCAACGGTCGGAATGAGCTGTGGCGGGCGGGTCCCGCGGAGCCGGCGCGCTCGGGGTCTCGGCGATATTTACCTTCGGTAGTGGATGTTGTGACACGGACATGTGGGACAAACGGATGGACAGAAATATTTGGGCCCCATTGGAGCATTGATGCGGGTGAGATTTGTTTGTGTGATGATGAGGCTGGGGAGCCTATGGTAGGACGGACGTCAGGCGAATGGAGGGGAGCGGCGGGTTCTGTTGGCCGGCCGTTTCAAATTTTGAAATTTGAAACTTTGTATCGCACCGTCGCGGGAAAGTACAGGATTACCCTTCGGCGCTTGGGCCTGCTGACTCGGCCTATGGAATGGCCTTGGCCGGCCAGTTGCAACCGTAACGGCCGAGTATATGTGCATGGATAGAATCTCACTTCAAGTGTTGCGATGCGAAGGCATCACTAGCTGCCCACACGATAAATAAAAAACAAAGTGAAATAACTAATTCCTCTTGTCTTTCTCACACACAGCTCCATTTTTTTTTTGTTCAATTTCCGATAGTCCATGCCTCAGAAGTTAGGTCTGCAATCGTTGATGGTTGTTTCTGCTATAGACAGGTGAGAAATCTATGTAAGTTTCTAGCTAAATAAAAGCTTCGCCAATAGATTGAAATCAATACGAGTACATCCAAACATTCCTTTAATGTATACTATTCTAGAATTTTCATCACCGTCGAGTCTAAGATCATTTTCACCATTAATTTTACCATTCGGCGGTGAAAGTGGGTGGTGATAACAAGCCTCATCGCTCCCATTCTCAAACCGAGATTGAAAATAATTATCACCGTCGGGCATTATACGAACCTGCACTGCTACCAGCGGTCTGAGCCCACCACTGCCCACGTCGTCCACTCTGCAGTAGTTGTTACTCATGCCATCGCTAGTTGAATCAGCATCGTTGTCTCCTCGCTCCAACCCATCGCCATCTCCTCGACCCGCCCGCCATGTGCTGTGCCACCACCCACCACCGCTATTGCTAGATCTCTGTGTGTGTGTGTGTGTGTGTGAGAGAGAGAGAGAGATGATGAAAATTGAGAGATGAAAAGAAGAGAGAGGGTGAGGATGGGCTCACCTCCATACGCGTGGTGGCAGCTCGTGCGCCGTGCGCAAAAGGGTCGCGCGCTCGGCAGCCATTGCTAGGGCGTCGTGCACCGGGCAACGCACGCTAGGATCGCCTGTCGATGTCTATGCACCGCTATGCGCCTTCCCCTAAGGTTTGTCGTGCTATGCGCTAGTGACGGGTACGGAGAGAGAGGGAGGGAAGGAGGGAGAGGAAGCCAGCTGTGGGAGTGAGAGAGAGAGAGAGAGAGAGAGAGAGAGAGAGAGAGAGAGAGAGATAAAGGGAGGATAATGGGACCATGGGTCCGTTCCCTCTCGCGGCAACCAATTCTAGGATGCCATGCTCCCACCTGGTGGTCACTCCAAGAAAGCACGACACAAGAAGCTGATGGGCAGGTAGGTCAGGCTGGAGACAAAGACGCTCACGGGGTTTAGGTTGACGCTTATGCCGAAAGAAAGGTGAAAATTATTTTCACCGCCGGTTCAAAAGAAAACCCCCCGTTGAAAAAATTGCTAACTTTAACCTTCAATTTTTAAAAGTGGTACTTATTGACAATATAAGATTTATGTTTTAAGAGTTACTAGGACAAATACTTTCATAATATATAATTTACATGTGAAACTACAACGATTTATGAGAAGTTCAATAACTCCTAGTCGACAACAACAGAAACCAACAGCGCATTTGGAGAGGCTCCGGCCGGTTCTAGCTCCGTCACTGTAGTGTCAGTTGAGCGGAGCTGGCGGACCCTCAAAGCCATGATGGCTCCGGCGGTGGCTTCTTTTTTCATGTTGTTTTGGGAAGAAACCAGAGCCATTTTTTTTTTTTGGCTTGCTATAGTGTTACACGGTATTGCACGGTGCTATCTCCATGCAGAAGTCGGAGCAACTGGATTATTAATTATTAGCACCACTGATGTTTGAGCAGCGAAGACGAGTCCTTGAAACCAGTTGCAGCGGACGCGTCGGAGGAGCAGGATGTCTGAGAGGTGACCGTCGTTGACGACGACTGAGTTAAACTGGAAGACGTCATCCCTGACGAGGAAGCGTTGTACGAGGAGAGCCCCCCGCCCTCCGGCGACGCAAGTGGCACCGCGTATGTCGCCACGGGCATCTTGGCAGGCAGCGCCGGCACCGGGCCGTGATTGGACTGGAGAGCGGCCATGGCTACTCTGATGGACGGCCGTGCGCGTGGGTCAGGGTGCGCGCACCAGAGCCCGACGGCCACGACGCGCTCCACCTCCGCCGCGTCGTACTCTCCTTTCAGCCGCTCGTCGGCCGCCGCGAGAGCGGCTCCTCTGCCGTACAGGTCCCATACCCACTCGACGAGCCGGAAGACGGCGTTCTTCTGGCCGTCCAGCAAGCTCATCGGCCTCCTCCCGCAGGCGACCTCCAGCACGACGACGCCGAAGCTGAAGACGTCCGACTCGGCGCTCGCGGCGCCGGTGATGAAGCATTCGGGGTCGACGTAGCCTGGCGTGCCCGAGACGGCCGTCATCGTCTGCATCCCGACGGCGTGGTCGATGAACCTGGCGAGCCCGAAGTCGCCCAGCTTGGCGTTGAAGGACTCGTCGAGCATGACGTTGCTGGGCTTCACGTCGCGGTGCACGACGCACTGCTCCCACTCCTCGTGGAGGTAGAGCAGCGCGGAGCCAAGCCCAAGAACAATCTTGATCCTGTACGTTGTTGCCAACGTGGACATTCATTTATGTATGGTCATGCTTTTGCTTTGAATAATCCCTTTAATTTCATATATAAAACAGGATTGAGTTATTATAAATTCAATAAAGCTGCGGATCGATAGGTAACCTCATCGGCCATGTCAAGAAGGTGCCGTTGCCGTGGAGATGGACGTCAAGGCTGCGGTTGGGCACCAGCTCGTAGACGAGCAGCAGCTCGTCGCGGCCATGGCACCAGCCGACGAGCTGCACGAGGTTCCGGTGGCGGAGCCTGCTTATCACCTTGATCTCCGACTTGTACTCCTTCCTCCCCTGCGTGGAGGATCCTTTGGCGAATCTCTTGATGGCCACGGCAGCGATGCCGCCGTTCTGATCACCCAGGTGTCCTCGGTACACGGAGCCGAAGCCACCTTGCCCGAGCTTCTCCTCCGGCGCGAAACCCTTGGTCGCAGCAACGAGTTTGTGGTACGGGAAGCGCCTCGGCCCCGTCCCCAATTCAATCTCCATGATCGGCTCGTCGTCATCCGACTCTTGCGCCTGCTTCCTCCGACGTCGTCGTTGGAGTAGAGCCGCCAGAGCAACGAGAAGCACAAGCAGCAGTGCAGCGCCGACGCTGGCACCTGCTATTACTCCAGCACGTCCAGAACCGGACACATCCATGGGTGGTGGTGGTGGTGGCGGCGGCGGCGGCCGCTGCGCTGGCGGCGGAGCTAGCAGAATTGGTGTGGCCTTGGGTTCCAAGGACGAGCTGAAGTGCCAAGAATGCAGCTGGTGCAGCTCGATGGATGTGGACGTCGAGGCAGAGAAGCCAACAGAGACGTCCTCCGGCAACGCGCTCTTGAGGTCAACCTTATGGCTGATGTTGTAAGACGGCGGCGTGTCCCTTCCATCGCCCAGCCACAGCGTCATTTCCAGGACGCTGGACAGGTTGTGGTACCTGATCTCGGCGGACATGTTCCCGATGAGGGTGAAGCTCGGCAGGGTCTGGGTGGCCACCGACCTGATAGAGTTGACGTCGATGCCGACGTGGTCGTAGGTGTCGTTGGGGTCGTGCGCGATGGTGTCGTTGAAGGTGTCGAACTCCACCGCCACGAACCGGGCGTCGCCGGCGGCCACGGCGTCGGCGCTCTGGTTGGTGAGCCCGATGTTGTAGGCGTAGGAGCCGGACGGCAGGCTCGACGGGTAGGCGGCGGCGAGGAAGAAGGCCATGCCGGTGCCCTTGTTGTCGATGCCGTGGTCCCCCGGCGGGTCGATGACGAAGGCGAAGCGCGTGGTGAAGCTGGCCACCTCGCCGGTGTCCTTGTCCCAGAGGCGCATCGGCCGGGCGTTGTACGACGCGCGGCCCGTGCTGTGGCCGATGCCGGACAGCCTGTTCGCCGTCACCTCGATCCACCCGCTGCTGATGTAGGCGTCGCCTTCCACCCTGATGTCCTTGCGGTCTTCTGGGCTGAAGCTGTCGTAGTTGAAGGACAAGGCGGCGACGGGAGCTAAGAAGAAGAAGACGATGAGGCCGACGGCGGTGCAAGTGGATGCCGACGTGATCGTCGTGATGCCAGCCATCGCGCGCCGGCCAAACCGCCGCCCAACAAATTCCGCGGAACTCCAGAGGAGGTGCACTGTCTGAAAACAAGGGCGTCGTCGTCGGCTTGACTGGAACAGCGAGTCTACTGCGTGCCACACGTTCAAGCATAGGCTGCCTGTCGTCGGAATCGTACTCGGCACGGTTCCCAAGGTCCCCACTCTACATTAGGCCATGTTTGGTTAGGGCTACTAAATTTTAAAAGCTACTAAATAGTTCAGTCATTTTTAGTAACTCCAGAATCACTGGAAAGGACTAAAACTCCTTTAGTCGTATTTAGTCATAGTGTTTAAAAAAAATTACACTAATTAAACCAAACGGGCCCTTAGACGCGGACACGGGCTAGCCAAAAGGCCAACAGCCCCCAACACCCACTGCTAGTAAAATCCAGGCACCTTTTATCGGAAGAAGAGCTTGTCGAGCTTTCCAGCTCAACCCAGCACTGAATCGTATAAAGATTAGCACCACGAGGCTTCAATCAATCGCTTTAATTTGGGGGAACGTCATGATTCGCCAAGGATGAGGCAATACCTCTGCACGTTCCTTCGTTTGCACTGCCTTTGTTCATGTCTGACTACTGTAGCAGCATCCACAGCACCCAAGCTCCTTCTATAGCATACTACCTAGGTATTTTTATTTTTCTCTTATAACTCTCAAGTTTTGGACCATTAGATCCCATAAATATCTCATCTAATGACTCTCTTTAATTGTACGAAATTGCATCATGTTAGGGAAAAAACAATGCATTTGATTAATTAAAGCACGTATTGAACAAAACTATAACTCTAAATAAATAAATAAAGAAACATTGCCATGCACCTTAACATTGTAAGTTTCAACATGAGGAGTTAAATATTGGGTATTTCTTACCAATAGCTTTTCATGTTCCTTCCTAAGGAAGAGCTTTTCATCGGCTTGCTATCCTAGAGGTCTGAGTGGTACAATATGTTCTACTCACCCAGTTTAAAATTGTAAGACTTTCTTTTTTTAGGCACATTGACAAAAGTTATATAACTAGAAAAGCCAAAAACGTCTTATAATTTGGATGGAGGAAGTAGCAAGCAAGGTCATCTTTTGTCTAAATTCTATCCATCGCCGACCTTCTTACCACCTGACACTATATCCTCATGTGTGCTATCAGACTTGGAGCGTGTTTGGTTCGTGCCTTCACCTTGCCACAGCTCGCCACGCCCGACTTCCGCTCGTGTTTGGTTCATGCCGAACCTGCGCCGAACTTGCGGCATGCCGCAACTGCCCAGGCACTCTCTAGTTCATTTGGGATGCCAACACACGCCGCAGTTCGGGCGGCCGATTTCATCGCCGCGTTTCTGGCGCGACTGCATCATCGGCGGCGTGCGTAGGCACGAACCAAAAGCGCCCTTGATCACCATGAGTGGGGAAACTTCTAGCGCCCTGTTCGCTTGGCTTATAAGCCGTACTTTTTTAGTCAACGAACAATTTTTTTCTCTCACAACAAATCAGTCAACAGTACTTTCAGCCATAGCTTATCCGCCAAGCAAACGGGGCATAGGTCTGGTGCCGACATGCATGGATCTCTCTTCAGTTGATGGTGGCTTGGGCACATCGATTAGAGAAACAACTCTCTTGGCTCTTGGCTTGCTACCAATGATGGAGCCCAAGGCAAGCTCCACTTTCTTGTTTTTTCTTAAAAAAAAACTATAGTGGTTTGTTTCACAACACGGTCGGCTCGTCTCTCCAAAGTCCAAACCAACCTTCTGGACCCGATGACTCCAGTGCAGGCGCAGCGGCCGAGGGCCGAAGCCGAAAACGAGGCTCGACACCCAGCGCATACGGCATCCCGCACCGGCAAGTAGTAGTGCGGAGAAAAGAGATGATGAGTCAGCCGGGGGCGGGGAGCCATCGCCGGCTCACCGCCTCCCGATTCCGCGACGGCCCGCAGCCACAGGCCACCGGATAACGCACGGCGGAACCATCCAAAAACGCGGGAGCTTTTCCAGTTTCCCCATCAAAACCCCACCCGAATCGCGCCAATCAACCAACACCGGGAGCAGCAGCAACTCACGCCCCCTCACCCACCCCCCCAGCTTCCGCGGAACTAGGAGCCGCCATGCAGCCCGACGCCAACGCCCCCTCCCACCGCCTCGCCCGCGTCGCCGCGCACCTGAACCCCCAGCGCTCGCAGATGGAGGAAGGCGCGGGCGCGTCCGCGCTGAGGCCCGCGGTGTGCCGCGCCAAGGGCGGCGCGCCTGGGTTCAAGGTCGCGATCCTGGGCGCCGCGGGCGGGATCGGACAGCCGTTGTCGCTGCTCATGAAGATGAACCCTCTCGTGTCCGTGCTCCACCTCTACGATGTCGTCAACACGCCCGGTGTCACTGCCGATATCAGCCACATGGACACCAGCGCTGTGGTAACGTGCCCCCCGAACTGATGGATTTGGCGGCTTACGGACTTTATTAATTGATTTGTCACAATAGGCACCCAATTGATCAGTTCTGCAGCTTTTTAGTTTTCTACTAGTTGGTTTCACCAGCTCATTATGTTATTATTATGTTATTTGTTATTGTGAATCATTATGTTCGCTGATTGTTGTGGTTAGGCTACTGATGTTTTCAGAACACCGTTCACAGCATTTGTTGTTGTACTTAAAAGAAAACCAACTAGAACTTCTGTTTATATTTACGTTACATACGCCAATTGAGTATATAGTTCAGGTCTTGGTGTCTGTAATGCCTAAAGAAACAGAGCACAAAGAAAAGGGGAAAAAAAGATACAATTACTCTCTGGAGTTTGAAAAGAAAAAAAAATGGTGTAAACAGACTACGAGTATCTCTTAAAAAATGTATTTGAACTCCAATATTTTTCAAACAGCTTAAATTTGATTATACACTGTTTCCTTGACCCAAATTACCTAGGTGAAAAAAACTTCAAATGTGAACATCCACTTAGTCCAGCTAATAATTCTGGTAAAACTTCTTTTCAGGTCCGTGGCTTCCTTGGGGCACAGCAGCTTGATGCAGCACTTACAGGAATGGACCTTGTAATCATACCCGCTGGTCTGCCTAGGAAACCAGGAATGACAAGGGATGATTTATTCAACAAAAATGCTGGGATTGTTCGTACACTTTGTGAAGGTGTTGCAAGATGCTGTCCTAATGCAATTGTGAATTTGATCAGCAACCCAGTGAACTCAACTGTCCCCATTGCTGCTGAGGTTTTCAAGAAAGCTGGAACTTATGATCCCAAGCGTCTTCTTGGAGTGACAACGCTCGATGTTGCGAGGGCTAACACCTTTGTGGTATGAAGCCTAATACATAGCATCTCTTAAGAACCTGGAATACTTGTGTACTCTAGTAGGGTTGTTGTACTCCTCAATTTGGTAATATGCATTTCTGCTTCATACTGTGTATTGTAGGCCGAAGTGCTTGGAGTTGATCCAAGAGATGTCAGTGTTCCTGTTGTTGGTGGGCATGCTGGGGTAACTATATTGCCCCTCCTCTCCCAGGTACTGATCATATGCTGATTTCATCACACGGAAATGATAATATTGAAATATTATCTAGTTTCTATGACACTAGGTGCTGATTTAAAACCTGTTTATATGCAGGTCACACCTCCAAGCTCATTCACTCAAGACGAAATCAAATATTTGACAGACCGCATACAGAATGGTGGCACAGAAGTTGTGGAGGTACAATGCTATTTGACTTTACTGCCTGAAGTTAGGTCTAACCGAACCAATATAGCGAATATTGCTCTGCTATAGTCTAAGCTCTTCATCTGATATTCACTGTGCCAAAACAGAGATGAGCTTTACATGATCGACTTTTTTGTCCATCAAACATCTGGTGAACATGCATCTCTAACTGATACATATTATGTATGTACGTATTATTTTCTCTGCATAAAGCTTACATAGTGATGTTGTTAGTGGAGAAATATATAGCGCAAATCCATCTTTCAGTGCTGTTATGTATATATGATTTATGTCGATAAATTGATTGATTTCAGTTTAACGCACTTGTTTTATTGCCGGGAGTCGAGACAGCAAGACTAAGTATTTGGCCATGCTTGAGTTGTGATGGCTACCTGTGGTTGCAACATTGATAAACAATGAGATTCTTCTAGCTGAAGTCCTACGGCATACTCTTTTGCATGCCCTTATGCATTACACATTAGTTCTAACAATTTCTCAATCTTTAAATATGAGTTTAAGGAAAATATCACAAATGTAACAGAATGGCTTTAAAGAACCACAATGAAATTGACGATATCATTCATCGATCAAAATTGCATACCTGCAGCTGCATATCCTGATGCATTATACATCTCTGGAACTACCACACGTCCATATTGACTGCTTCCTGAAGTAGTTTCCAGTTAATTGAAGAAAACTAGTAATGAACGTTGTTTTCATTGATTTCAGGCAAAGGCTGGATCAGGCTCTGCGACTCTGTCAATGGTTGGTTATACATATACATGATAGCTTACTTTAGGTAATCAAAAGTTTAGTCTCTATACTAAAAGAAAAAAAAACTCAGGCTTTTGCTGCTGCAAAATTCGGTGATGCATGCTTGCGAGCTATGCGGGGCGATGCTGGCATTGTGGAATGCTCATATGTTGCATCCGAGGTATACTTACACGAAATCTGTATATTTCTCCTTCACATACCAATATACCATCCGAACATCGACCCTTTTCTTATTTCCGTTTTTCCATTTGGCATCAGGTGACAGAACTGCCGTTCTTTGCAACAAAAGTGAGGCTTGGCCGTGGCGGTGCTGAGGAGATCCTCCCTCTTGGACCTTTGAATGATTTTGAGAGGTACCCTTGCTATACACACTCAGTCGCTTAATAATGTGGTTCCATTGCGTCAGAATTGTTAGATAATGAATTGAATTCTCTCGATTCTCCGAAATTCATTGGCCTAATGCTTCTTCGATCTCTGGGAAAACAGAGCTGGTCTGGAAGCGGCAAAGAAGGAACTGAGCGAGAGCATTCA